TCCCCTTCTCCTCCTGCCCCCAATCCCTCCCAGCATCAGGGTCTTTTCCAATGAGTCAACTCTTCGCATGAGGTGGCCAAAGTATTGGAGTTTCAGCTTCAGCATCAGCCCTTCCAATGAACACCCAGGACTGATCTCCTTTAGGATGGACTGGTTGGATCTCCTTGCAGGCCAAGGGACTCTCAAGAGTCTTCTCGAACACCACAGTTCAAAAGCATCAATTCTTCAGCACTCAGCTTTCTTCACAGTCCAACTCTCATAACATAGAATAAATACATATAATAAAATACCTAACATTAAAACTATCCTGAATGTGATTTATTCCTTGTTTGACATTTCAAAATGCATTTCTGAATTTTGTAGCTCCTTTTGGTAGACATTAGGGCCATTATTTATCACTACATTGTGATTAAGTATGTTCAGGTTCACAAAACTTGAAGAGAACAGAGTGATGGACACTCAGGTTTACTATTCAGTGAAGAAGACACAGTGACTGCCCTTAAGTTCTAACATGAAAAAAAAAAAAGTTCTAACATGAGATTATAGGATGGAGCATATGAAAGCAGCTTGGCTTCTCTTGGTCTGGAACTTGAGAATACATACATCTATAAGAGCCTCATTTTATACATGCAAGAAAACTGCTGCCCAGAGAGGTGAAGTCACTTGCTCAAGGTCACAGAGTAGGTAAAAAAGCAGGGCTGGAAGTTAAATAGAAGCCCGTGTGACTTCAAAATCCATGTTTCTGACCATTTTGCCAGAGGTTCCTGTAAATTCTGCAGTAGGAGAAAGGGGAAATGATAGCCAAGCTCTCTCCAGAGTCTGATGTGAGGGCAGCTTGGGGAGTGGGTGGGTACTGGAAAGCTAAAGGTTGTCCACGTGGATGGGACACAGTGGGAGCTGACAGACAAGAAGTCATATAAAGAACAAACGGCCATCTGTGGCCTCTGACGTCCATCTCTCCCACCGACTGAGGCAAGACTGGGGTCCAGCGAAGGACGGACAGCAAGAGCCCCCACCCAGCCCTCCACTGCTGGCCAGCGGTGACTAACGCCTCGCCCCACGCCCTTGAGAGCAGACACACAGTGGCCACTTGTGTTTTCTGCCGAGGCACCTCTCTGGGAACAATCCCCGCCTTGTGCAGCGCAGGGACCCGGCCCCAGGGAGGTGGGACAACCCTTCCAGCAGGAGCCCCGCCCAAGCCAAGGGCCCGGCCAGGGGCTGAGCGCTTCCTGAAAGTCACCCACACAGCCACCGCCAGCTGCGGACGGCCCAGGCCTCCCTGCCCTCCTGGCTGCGGCCTGACCGCTGTGTCCCTCCCGCCCCCTCCTCCAGGGAAAGGACTGATGCCACAGAACACAGGGACCAGAAAGAACTCGGCCGCCCCTCTCAAACCCCAGCTCCCAGTCCCCAGTCTGCAGCTGGGGAAACTGAGTTTGTGAAGGTTATGCAGTGCCCAGAGTGCAGTCTGCGGCGACTGCGTTATCTGCAGGATCAGAGTAAATGAGAGCACAAAAGCTGAAGGGCCTGATTGGCAGGAGGGGGGGTTACGGGGTGGAGGGGGGGGTCCTGTTCCCAGGGCACCACTCACTTCAGGCCTGGGAGCCCATGGAGCTGCCTGGAAATGAATCCTAAAGTGGGGCAGCAGGGGGACTAACCTGCATCTGTTTTCCCCTGAGGACTCACAGCACCAGCTGCTTTTGGGAACGGCCTCTCTTTCACTCTACGTGCAAGAGTTGCAAGAGGGCTGAGCCCCCCTAGTCCCGGCACACAGCCCAGCCCAGCCCCTCAGTCTGGACCCTCTCGGGCACACCCAGTGGCAGGCCAACAGGGCTGGACCCAAGTGGTCTTTTGGGTTTTTTTTTGCTAAACTTATCAGCAAATACATGTTTTTTTTCTTTCTCCTGGGTTGCTGAACTTAAGATGGGAAGGCTAGAGGGTCTTGGAGCCCATCTTGCCGCCCTTCGGAGAGCCTACCTGGGGATGAGGCCGAGACCAGGGAGGCCACAACGGAGGAAGGCGCACGCGGAGGGTCTGTGGGACACCTGCAGCCAGCGGTCCTGAAGCAGGCCCTGCCTTAGACTCCCTCTCGGATGGCTGTCTTTTGCCACCAAAAAGGAAACGAGCCCCAGCTCTGCGGTTGTTCTGGCAGCCAGCAGACACCTATGAAAATGCTTCACCACGCAAACTTGTGTAACGAGGGCTACCTGCACTCCCCACGGCACCATGATCTACAGAACGACCTTCACTGAGGCTTCTCAGAGGACCTGACAGGTAAAATGGGATCAGCAACCCAGATGGGAAATGCAGTTACTAACAGGCCCCAGGCAAACAGATTCTTCTGCCAAAAGACTCCTCCTCCCAGAAAGCAGAGAGGGTCACATTACACTTTTAAATTAACAAAGAAGGAAAAATGATAACCTCCAATGCTGGTAAGCAAACAAATGGTAAAATAGGTAAATTCATTATTGACAAGAATATAGACAGATTCAGTCTCACAAAGATCAAAATTGGCAACAGATTTTCAGAGCCTAGAAAATACCTTTTAAGCCTATTAGCACTCACTCCTGAGAATGTAAGGCCAGGAAATAATTCCAAAGAAGACAACAGAAAACATGTACTAGGATCAAATTCACATTAGCCCACAATAATGGCAAAAAAAGTGGAAATAACCTAAATATTCAACCTAAGGAAGATAGTTAAATTAACTTAGTGGGATATTAAGCAATCCTTTAAAATGATAAACAGGAAAATAATATAGTAATAAGAAAAAGATAATTAAGCGATAATAATAAGTAAATGAAGCTGGATGATAAAATTATAGCTAAGCTATAACTGAATCTGCCTGCAATGCGGGAGACCCAGGTTCGATTCCCTGAAGAAGGGAATGACAACCCACTCCAGTGTTCTTGCCTGGAGAATCCCATGGACAGAGGAGCCTGGCGGGCTACAGTCCATGGGGTGGCAAAGAGTCAGACACAGCTGAGCCATTAACACTTTCACACTTCACTTTCTGGACAAGCTGAAACACAGATTAAGGAATCCAAGTGGTTTCTCAAGGTGGTTTTCACTCAATGGACATCTAGCAATCAGCCATAGGGGTCCTGGTGAGGACAGACCGGGGCTGAGGCACAGAAAGTGACCCCTTCATCCAGAACTTGCTTTAAATGTTTCCAGAGATGGGCAGCCTGTCCTCTCAGGAACCCCCTGAACTGCACTATCCAATGTGGTAACTACTAGCCTCAGGTGCCCATTTAAATTACCTGAAATTAAATGAAACTTAAAATGTAGTTTCCCAGTTACATTAGCCCCAGTGAATAGTGATTACCATAGTGAATAGAGCAGATGCAGAACAGCCTCATCACTGCAGAAAGTTCTAGTAAGTGGGCAGCTTTGCGCTTGAGGCTGCACCTGGCAGAAAAGGCATTCTCATAGAGGTACCACACTCACACTCGAGTGTACCAGCTCCAGCCTCAAAAACACGCATTTCTTTTTCTAGGAAGGAGCAAAGGCTTAAGTGCAGAGAGAGGGTAGAAGAACCTTGGGTGGGGGCCAGTTGTGAGGTTGCCTAGCAACCTGGCTGGGCAGCAGGCGTGAGGAAAGGCTCGCAGCTGACCTGTCAGATGAGCAGCCACGGCCAGCGGGTCAGAGCCAAAGAATGGAGCAGTCAAGGCGAAAGGTTTCTGTTTTCCTCGTCCCCCTGCCTGACTCTGGACACGCAGCCAGGCCTGTGTCCAGAGAGGTTCAGGCCACTGGACCCAAGGAGGGGCTTGGCCTCTGCCCCAGAGTGTGCTGCTGGGCTGTCCCTGCCTGCACACACTCAATCTTTGCACAGTGACAACGGTCACCAATCGTGGGGAAACCTTCCACTCTTATTAAGGAAGAAGGAAGCTGGGCCCTGGAGGAAGCCCGCCACGTGCAAGGGAAGGGCTCAACATCAGCTCGAGCAGGGGTGTCCGCGGGCCGCGGACAGGATGGGTGGCAGCTGTGGCCTTGGGCTCAGACGCTGCCACCACCCCGGGCTGGCAGCATGAGTGGGGGGCAGAGCGGAGCCACAGCCCCACAGCCCCGCCTTCCCGAGGCTTGAGTCCTTGGAGGCCAAGATGCCAAAGGGCCTGCCGAGGCCTCCTATGGTCTCTTGAGGCAGGATAAGGGATGTCCCACCTTAGCCAGCACGGGTCCACGAGAGATGCAAAGCCCTTCCGGCTCCTCCTCTTGAACGGCAAACAGGCCCAGGTCACACAGCTAGGCAGTGGCTGCCGGGACTCCACTCAGGTCCAGCCCACTGCCTGCTGCGCTTTCCGCTCCCGAGGACAATCTCCGGGAGCTCCTGCCCAGAGGCGGTGTACACCAGTCCCTCTCCCCAGCTCCCTTGCTGCCTTCCACCAGAGACCTTCTTAGGATGAACCCTCCAAGGCTCCCTGCTGCTGACATGATAAAGCCCAAATTCCCGGGCCTGGCGCCCCTGGCCCTGGTGATCTGCCCCTTCCACGCCTCCAGGACTCCACTGCTCCCCTGCAATCACCTCCTGCGACAGCCAGGACCTGATGCCCCTACTTCCAGGCCTTTCTTGGTGCTCCTTCCTCCATGAGGAGTGCCTTCACTGTATCCGTGTTTAACCACTCCACAAAGTCTAACTCAACCCCAGCCTGCCCCATGAGAAGTTCCCAGAACCCCAGCTCCCATCCTCTGCTAGAACTTCTTCACACCTTACTAGGGCTCTCATCACAGTTCACCTGGTGCCACAGTCCCTTTTTTTCTTTTATTTTGGGCCTTTGTTGCTGTGCATGGGCTTTCTCCTGGCGAGTGGGGGCTACTGTCTGGTTGCAGGGCCTCTCACTGCGGGGGCTTCTCTCGTTGCAGAGCACAGGCTCAGCAGGCGTGGTGTGCAGGCTCATTGCTCTGGGGCCTGTGGGGTCTTCCCGGACCAGGGGTAAAACCTGTGTCCCCTGCCCTGGCAGGGGCATTCTTAACCACCCACCACCACAGAAGTCCTCCACCGTCCTCTGCGTTCACAGATTCTCTGACCTGTGAGTCCTGAAAAGCTAACACCCATCTCTGACTCGTCTTGTCCTATCCCATAGAACCTGTTACAGAATAGCCAGTGGGTGGATGGGAACATGGGTGGTGCGTGTACAAGCAGCTGAGAGAATGGCTGGGCAGATGGGAAGGTGGACGCACAAACAGGAAGGGGGTGAGTGTTAAGGGTGTATGTATAGATGTACAGAATACTATACTATGGATGGATGGGTGGGTGGGAAAATGGGTAGGAGGGAGAGTGTAGGAAAGGATGGGTGTGTGGGACAATGGATGGACAGGTGGGTGGATGGATGGGAAGATGAGTAAATGGGCTGACGGACAGATGGACAGACTGACAGATGAATGACAGACTAAGAGGATGAATCAGTGGATGGGAGGAGAGACGCATGTGAGAGAGGGATAAAGGAATGAAGGTATGTCTAGGGAGCAAACCATGGTCAAATCTTCCTTTCTTCCCCAGACACCAGAGACTACCCTGTTGCTGGCTTCTACGAACACCAGCCTGACGGGTGTTACTGCCTTCACCTGGCACTGTGTATTTATGGTTTTTAGTAGCCTAAACCACGTTTATCTTGTTCACCAATGTATTATTAATAGTATTATTAAATTACTGTATCTGGCCAATATGTACTTTAAAATAATAGATGGATGGATGGGTAGATGAATGGATGGATGAATTGGTGTGTGTATCTCCTTGTAAACAGACAGAAGTAAGGCCCTCCACATAAGAGAAGAAAGGAAAGTGACAAGAAGTTCATTGTCTCCTTAACACACTGAGATTGCTGAATCTAATCTGTTCTCTGGTTTTGGAAGACAGGCCCTCTTTACCTTGGGGGAGCCAAAGCCTTTGACTGGGCCGGGACATACACAGTTAATGAAAGGAAACCACTTCCTGATCAATAATCGCTGGGCCAAGTTTCAGCTCAGTGAGAAACGAAACGACTGAGTTTCAGAACAAGTGACACTTAAGGAGGGCAAAGCTTACGAAGCACAAAAGCAGTGACATGGCTTCAAAGACAGGCATTTAACCTCTCTCTCCCTCGGGGAGGAGGACCCTGGCAAGCCATGCCGGCACAGCAGGGAAATGCTGAGCCCAGAATCCTTCTGGGCCAGCAAATAGAAAAATAAAACCCAAACAGCATTGGCCCCAAAGATACCACACCGTGGCCTTGGCCAAAATCCCGCGCAACCTGGCCAACTTGGCTGGGGATGTGGGAGCTTCCGGCTCTCAGCTCTTCCAAAGTGCTAGGGAATCCAACCGCACGGACCGGGGAGAGGAGCGGGGACCGGTGATCAGGGCGCTGAGTCCTGAGAGTCCTGCTCCCACCTGTCTCAAGCTCCCTCTACTCAGAGGGCGGAGCGCTGAGTCACGGGCAGAGGCAGGCAGCCTGGGGTCATGAGCACAGAGGAAGGAAGCACCTTTATCCAGGCCCTGATGCAGACGGCCAACTCACTGGAAAGACCCTAATGTTGGGAAAGGTTGAGGGCAGGAGGAAACGGGGGTGACAGAGGATGAGATGATTGGATGGCACCATCGACTCAAGGGACATGAGTCTGAGCAAACTCTGGGAGACAGCGAAGGACCGGGAAGCATGGCGGGCTGCAGTCCATGGGGTCACAAAGAGTTGGACACAACTTAGTGACTGATCAACAACATGCTCCCTGCACCAGGCCAAGCACTCTACTCAATCTTCACCACGAGCTGGGAGTCATGTACTCTTATCAACCCTGTTTTCCAGTCAGTCCCAAATCTCAGGGAAGTTGAGGCTGCCCTGTGTTTTCAATCAACAATCCTTGTGTGCTGGTTTTTTTTAAATATTATTATTCCAAAAGCATTATGTACCTTTTGGCTCTCTGAGCAGCACCATGGCGGTCAATAAGAACAAGTGCCTTATGAAAGGAGGTAAAAAGGGAGCCAAGAAGAAAGTGGTTGACCCATTTTCTAAGAAAGACTGCTATGACATGAAAGCACCAGCAATGCTGAATATAAGAAATACTGGGAAAACATGAGTCACAAGAACGCAAGGAAACAAAATCTCACTGACAGCCTCAGGGGTTTGTGTTTTCGGGGTTTTTTTTTAATATTTATTTTTATTTATTTGGCTGTGCTGGGTCTCATTTGTAGCCTGTGGGATCTAGTTCCCTGATCAGGGACTCCTGGATTGGGAGCATGGAGTCTTAGCTACTGGACCACCAGGGAAGTTCCAAGAGTTGTGTTTTTGAAGTGAGCTTTGCTGATCTGCAGAATCATGAAGTTGCATTTAGAAAATTCAAGGTAACTACTGAGGATGTTCAGAGCAAAAACTTGCCTGACTAATAGCCACGGCATGGATCTTACCCATTACAAAATGTGTTCCATGGTCAAAACATGGTAGACCATGACTGAAGTTCACATTGATGTCAAGACTACCAGGGGTTATCTGCTTCATCTATTTTGTGTGGGTTTCACTAAAAAACACAACAATCAGATTTGGAAGATCTCCTATGCCCAGCACCAGCAAGTCTGCCAGGTCCATTAGATGATGGAAATCATGACTCGAGAGGTGCAGACAAAAGTTGAAAGATGTCATCAACAGATTGATTCCAGACACATTGGAAAAGACACAGAAAAAGCCTGTAAATCTCTTTATCCACTCCACGATGTCTCTGTTAGAAAAGTGAAAATGCTGGAGAAGAGCAGGTTTGAATTGGGAAAACTCACGGAGCAACCACGGTGCAGGAAAGAGCTCTGGAAACTCTCCTGGGGGTGAAACAGGTGTTAAAGTTGAACAAGCTGATGGCTATGACCCACCAGTCCAAGAATCTGTTTAAAAATCAGACTTTTAATGGTGATAAAACATCCTACCTGTTATTTTTAAAAAAAAGAATTATGTACGTGTTAAAGAACATCTTCAAAATATAATGGTACCAAGAAGGAAATCAAACAAGGCATCGTCCCAGAGATAACCACCTTCAGCATCTTGGAGCACCTCCTCCCAGGATTCCACGGTATGGATGTAACCACGCCAGCACTTCCCAGCTGTGTGGTCCCAGGGGACTTAGGTGACCACTTTGCCCCTCGTTTCCTGCTTGGAACAGCCAAGGTGTTCACAGTTCCTGCCTCACGGGCTAATGTGAGCATTCCGTGAGTTATCATGTCAAAGATGCTACGAGCAGAACTCAGTCATAGTGAGCATTCCACAATAATTCACTCATGCTTTTTCTTTTCCTCCCCACAAATGTATTCTTGCATACTTCACAAAAACGGGATTTAACTGTATACACTGACATGTCATTCTCCTTCTTACTTAGCAATATGCCATGAACAGCTGTTCAGATCACAAAACACTCTCCCACAGCATCCTCTCCAACTACTGCAGACTGAATGGTGGGTCCACTGTAGGTCTAACCAATCCCGTCACGTGTGCTGTGTTCAAAAGCCTGAGACGGGATCTACAGATAGCCAGACAGGTCTCCAAACAGCAGGGCCACTGCACCCCTCCCAGGTCACACAGGCAGGGACCCTGGAGAGGTCCGAGACAGGAGGCCAAGCCTGGGTCAGCTCTGCTGAGTCCTGGCTGGGTGCCCTTGGGGACTGGTCTGGTAAGATTACAGGTGTGCACTTTGGTCCTGCTTGTGAGAAGGACTGTATTCTCCCCATTTTCCAGAAGGAAAAGAAGCTGAGGCTCAGAGGGACAGCATCACTAGCCCAAGGCACACAGCGAAGACAGCAGCCTCGCTGCGACTCGCAGGGTGAAGAGCGTCACCAAGTCCGGAGCCTCCGAGGAAGGCTCTTGCAGGAGGCAGGGGGTGATTCAGGGGTCTTCCGAAGTACACCTTGCTGGCCCCGGCAGTCGGTCCTGCATACAGCCTGGAGACTCGGGACAAGTGACAGAGGCCGGCAGTGGTCCCTGGGGCCCAGATTCCCCGTGAACAGAAGCGCAGCACTCACCGCTCCTCAGCCCCAGCTGTCAGCTCAACGTGGGGGCTGGGGGTGCTGAGGGCACCCGAGGGAAAAGAGGGCTCGAGAGAGATCTAGGCCTCCCCAGCCTGGCAGCAGGGCCGACCAAGAGGCAAATCAAAGGTAGAAAGAACCCTAAGGCCCGATAGAGAGGCATGCCAGCTCCGTCAGGGTCATTCCTCAGGGCGACAAAGCCAGCTTTGTGGGAACCGCCTCAGAGGGCCAAGAATCGGGTCTGGGAGGCCAGACACGCCAGGCCAGAGCTTTCCAGGAAGGAGGGCGAAGGGCAGCAAGGCGCCGGCGCTGGCTTCTCCCTCCCGGGCGTGACTGCCGCTCTTCCAGACATGGCCTTGGCTATGCTGGGCCAGCGGGCCGGGGAGGGGGCAGCAGACTTCCGCAAGGGGGACAGTAAAGAGCCTCTTTACTGAATCGCGTTCGTCCTCACAGCCCAGCGGCAGGGGAAAGAGTCCGCCTGCCAATGCAGGGGACATGGGTTCAAGCCCTGGTCCGGGAAGATCCCACATGCCACAGGGCAACCAAACCCACACTCCACAACTGCCCAGCCTGTGCTCCAGAGCCCACACGTCACAGCTCCTGAAGCCTGCACCCCCGAGAGCCTGGTTCCACAAGAGACGTCGCCTCAGTGAGCACCCGGAGCAGCGCAGCTGAAGAGGCGCCTCCACGCTCTGCAACGAGAGGGAAGCCCACGGAGCAACGCAGACCCAGCACAGCCAGCAACCAACAAATAATAAAACTGCTTAAACAATAACAACCCGCAGTACATTTCAGGCTGATTCCCGAGCCTTGACGCAGCAGCATCTACCCAGGAGCAGCCTCCAGCGTGACAGACCAGGGGAGCTGGACCAGGGGCCTAAGGGACTCTGCCTTTGTTGATGATCAGAAAGCTGGGCCAGGCAATCAGGTCAACCCGCAGAAAATCACAGTGACAACGGTCCCATCGCCTCCTCTTCCTCCACGTGGGGCACCGTGTCGGGGCTGGCCACACATCTCCATCTTCACAAACTCTCTGAGGGAAGCACTACTTTGATCCTCATTTTACAGCTCAAGATACTGAGCCTCAGAGAGGCGAGGTGACTTTCCCAAGGTCATACAGCACACAGCCAGGGAAGCCAGGAGAAAGCTCAGAACTGATTTCAGGGCCGGCACCCATCACACAGTTCTGGCTGGGGTGGGCAGAGAGCTAGGCCTGGCATTTACTATTCATCACTCACTCATGCAGCAGTTATTAACTCAGTATCTACCACGCATCTATTATCCACGAAAGATGGATTGATTACTCCCTGCTCTCCAGGACTTTACATCCTCCAAAGAAAGAAAATAAATACGGTGACAGACAAGAGAATCCCAGTTTGTGATAGGGGCTCTGAAGGAAGTCAGCAGGGAGCTGTCACTGTGGCCAGGAGGGAACAGGGGAGGTGAGACCCACAGGATGAGAAGCAGCCAGCTGTGCAGCCACAGCAGAGTGGCTGGCAGCAGGGCCAGCCAGTGCAAAGGCCCTGAGGCAGAGAAGGCTGCGCCGCTTCAGTTCCTCTCGGCGGCCCCATCTTCCCTTAGAAGGGAGGTTGGCTAACGCTAAGCCTTCAGTCACTCCACGCCCTCCACCCTTAGGGCCTGAATTCTGGTTCTGGTACAGCCTGTTATTAAAGAGAAAAAAAAGCTATAGGA